AGCGCCAACTGTACAATTAAAAATGGTTACAGTGACAAAGTTTATGTTAGGTATATTTTAGCATAATAAAAAAAATAAAGCAAATCCCAGACTAGAATACAGCCTGGGTCACAAAATGTTTCTCTAGTTCTCATTGCATTGTGGGCTTTATGCACTAAGATGACGGAAAGCTGGTATACATCTTTCTTCAAAGGAATTTTTCTGACAGTCTTGAAAAGTAAAACAAAGGTATCTATTTCCAGATCGCACACTTCCCAAGTTACACAAACCCACAAGTCTGCCACCGCATCCTGCCAACAGCCAGCTGTGCGGGGTCCCACACCAGCGCCATCAGGGCCAGACCCAAAGACGAAGCACCCATTTGCACCCATTCCCACTGTCCACTTTCAGTTACTCACTGTGAAATGTCATAGCAAGGCAGCTGGAGGCAGACTTGTCACTGGTACTTGAAATAAAGCAGGTGACATGGCCAGGCCCTCCTCAGAGCTGACAGCCATTAGTGAAGTCCCCAGGGTTCAGGCTGACTCCCAGCCAGGCTTACTCAACGTTTACTTGCCCAGGAGTGTTTTGAGGTGCCCTGGGGCTGGCCGAGCTGGCCCTACATTGTCAGTCTTTGATGTGGGTGTGGATGGGGCTGGGAAAGAACCAAGCCAAATACAGCGAGTCAGGTGGATTCACATGGCTTCCCAAAGACCGGAGCCCCTTGCAGACGGCCCATGGCTGAATCTCAAAAGCAAAGGCTAGTGGTAAGGAGGTGCTGCTTCCCTGAGCTCTGAGATGCTCCGTTGCTGCATCTGCCCCCCAGCTCAGACACTTTGAAAAGGCTCTAACCCTCAAAAGGCCTCAGAGCACCCAGCCTGGGGCTCTAAGCAACTGGGATGGTAGGATTCCATCCTCTGGTCCTGACCAGCCTGTTTGACTAAGTCATGGTGTGACTTAGGATCTCTTAATTGTAAGGAATATAGAGACTCCCTCAAGCACCCACAAGCAGTGGGAATTTGTTAAAAGAACACCCTAAAAGAGACAAGGTCCTTGGAAAACTCAGGCAGAGCTGGGCGTTGGAGAAACCCAAGGAAGGGCATCTGGGATTCATAGCACCTCTCAGCCTGGGCCCTGTTCCTTCCCCTCGACAGAGTGAGGCTGCGGGTGTGACTCTCATGTTCTCCAGTTCATGTGGCTCCGGGGCCCTTCTCTGCTGCTTTTCCTACTGATACTCCCAACCCGTCACTCATCCTCTGCTCACCGGGGTTTCCCCCCACCCTGTGCACCTTTCTCCTGGGAACTGTAATTCCCCTCACCCTGACTCACTCTTGAAGAATCCTGTTCCTTCCACCCTGGTGTCCTCCTCTGCTAGCTTCAGCTCCCATTACCAAACCCCTCGTTTTTAGTCTGTATTTCCCAGCTCAAAATCCATACATGAAGAAACAGGGGTAATTCTGGGGGGTATTTGGGCACTTACGAGCAGAATGCAAAGGGCTGTCTTGGAGAAAGTCTTCAGGAAGAGGCCTACAGACACCAAAAAGATGCCCCGTCAGGCGCTGATGTCTGTGCTGAGACCGGGCAGTGAGCCAAGGTAGCAGCAGTTAAACTGAAGGGGTACAGTTTTCATCTGGGACACTTTTATGGGCTGTTGGCCAGCTTACAGAACAACCACGGCCCCTGCCTCCCCAGGGGTGTGGGCAGGTCCTCTCCAGGAGAGGGCACCAGGCACCACATCGCCAGGTGGCAAGAATGTTCATCTAATGCCTCAGAGCCTGGCACACATTATCCAAAGAGGTGCTGAGGTGAAAACCGAGTGGATGCCTGTTTTCAGGTAGCATTGTTCTACTTCTCATTTTCTCTGAAATTCTGCTCCTTTTCTCTGTCCTGCCTTTTAAGCCTTTTCTCAGTTTCCATCAGAACCCAAGCAGGAGACACCTTTCCCTCTCCTAACTGCATTACATACCTTCCAAAGCCATTCATTCGCTTCACTCATCTGTTTACTCTACGTTCGTGTGCTACCTGCTCTATAACAGGAAGGAATCGACATTGGAGGGGCTGCAAGTGGGGACAGAGGACATAAAGCAGTGCAATTTGACTTTGGGGACTGGGAGGGAAGTCTGCACATGATGGAGTACGGGACTCTTGATTTATGCACGGGGTCAACCTAGGGTCTGGAGTTCCCCAGGACTGTGTTGCTCTGCCCACATCCAGTAGGCAGAAGGGCATGGAGATGGTCTGGGAGTGGTATGCACCACTCCCACTCATATTCTATTGGCAAGAGCTAGTCATTGGGGTTCCCTTAACTGCAATCAGCTGGACAAGGTAGTCTAAATGTATTTCCAGGAAGAAGAGATTTTTGGTGACCGCTAGAACCTCAGAGAAAGTTTCTAGGGAGTGGGCAGAACCTAGAGTTGTGTGGGCATCCTTGATCCTAGTTTATCCACAGTGTTTGACAGTGGTTGCCAGGGAGGTCAGCGAGCAGACAGAGCAGCAACGGTCAGTTCACGGCCCTTCAGGCAGTCTTGTGCAAGGCAAGATATTATCTTCCAAAATGAGATTTGAAAATTGCATGCTCAATCTGTAGAAGAAAAAGGTGGATTTCAAATAGGAGATTATCAAAAACTATGAAGGGCCTGAGATTTTACTTGCAAGGTAGCAAGTTAGCTCAACACAGACGCATGGCTGCTGATAGCAGCATGCACTGCCTGGGTCAGAGGGAAAGGGCTGTGTAATTCACAGCAACAGCAGTGCCCAGAGGGTCAGTACTTTCTCTCGCCAGCTCCTGAAGGCCAATCCCCGCAGGGTGACACAAAGAGGCAAAGGTGGCATCTGCACTTGGGCTGGGCTGTGTTACCAGAGAGGAACACTTGAGTTCAGGGAAACTGAATCTTTTAAAGTGGACAATAAGCGTGCCCTGCTCCTGGTTCTGGGGGAAGATGACACTATCTCTATCCTCCAGGGCTGGAAGCAATTTGCCCTTTGCCCTACAGACGGACCCTATCTTTGTCTTCAAAGGCTGTTCACTTAACAAACATCCTTGAAAAGATAATCCAGAACAAAGGTGGTGAGTGCCTCTGCTTGCAAGATGGGCAAAAAGACAAGCTCTTTGGGGAATTGTCCTCCAACAAAGAGGTTTCTTTTTAGCGAGGGGAGTTTTTTGGTGGCAGCTTTCTTTTCTGGATTCCCTTCCTCCTGACCTCTAGAGACTGGCAGGCCCCAGGGCTCAGCCCTCAGAGGCCTTCCTTATCTACACTCCCTTCCTTGGGAATCTCATTTAGCTTCCCATCTTTAAATGCATACTGATGACCCCAAATTTACAGTTTGTACTTCAACACTGCCTACACTTCCAGACTCACATATCAAACTGTTCATGTGGCATCTTCACTTGTTTATCTTCTAGAAATCTCAAACCGAACACATTCTTGAGTCCCATCCGCCACAGGAAACCTCATTCTTCCCCAGAGTAACCCTGTCAGGAAAGATGATCACACATTCAGTTGCTCAGGCCAAAATTCTGTTTCTTCCATATCCATGTCCAATCCATAAGCACATTTGTCTTCAAATTATTTTCTGTATCTGACCAGCTCTATCCTCCTACATCCCTAACATCCTAGTCCCAACGACCTTGTCTTTGTCTGAGACAATAGCCATGAATTTCTAATTGGGCTTCCACCTTCTAAACTTGCCCTGGGTATTCAACCTCTACTGTGGTCCGAGTGATTCTTTAAAAATACAAGTTAAATAATATTATTTGCCTGCTTTCAACCTTTCAATGACATTCCAAACACATTTGGAATAAAATTCAAGGTCAAGACTATGTATGATCTGACGTCTGCCTCTAAGTCTGCCCTGTGTTACCCTCCTTCTCCTTCTTGCACTCCACTGTCCTTGAAACCGCCCGGCAGGAGGCCATCTCAGAGCCTTTGCGCCTTGTTGCCCAAGTCATTTAGGGCTCTGTCAGATGTCAGTTCACCAGAGAGATCCTCTCTGACTTCCCTAACGCGCACCCTCCCTACCCCCTGATAGTCTTTATCTCTGCCTGACTTTAAGAATCAGCCTCCTCCCTCTGCTCTCCAGCCTAGAATATATGCTTCATGAGTCAAGAGCCTGGCTTTGTTCACTGAAATATCCTTCTAGAACAATAGCTGGCCCAAAGTAGATGCTCAATAAATATTCATTGGTTGAATGACTGAATGAACAAACGACAGCTAATGTTAGCTACAAAACTGGAGGCAATATTAGGACACCAATACTTTGTGCCTCAATCTTTCTTCTTCAAGCTAAATCAACTGATTTCATGTAATGTATTTTAAGGCATATGTTCCAACTCTTTAATAATTGTCATTTCTCTCTTTGGGTTCTTGCCATGTACTTTCAGCTTGTGTGTGATTGAGTTCAAAATTGAAAATACCCTTCTAGGAAGCTATACTGTCTATAATTAGTTTTCCTCTCTTTACAGATTTCACATGCTTGCCTAGAAATACACCTTTAAAAGATAATCTCCCAGGACATATACCCAGCCACAGAGAAACCTGTCTAAAGTCAGAAAGTTTAGAAAGTAACAAAGTGAATATTGATTCTTACTTGCTTGTAGTTTCTACAAACCCCCAACACTGTCCTACATACACTGGCAAAAATATATATATAATCAACCTCATGAATTTAGCCACAGATTGCATATATTTAAAATTTGTTACTTTTTCATTCAACAAAGAAATACCTCCTCTGTGTGAAGTGGTGAGCTAGAAGCTGGGACAGTACATGGGGAAGTGTACTTGGACCTTATCTGGAGGAATAGGGCACCATTATTTTTATTTCCATTATCGTTCATGGGCCTTCTAATTTGGGCCTAATTTACTTCTCAAATATTTTATTTATTTCCAATCTCTCTTTTTAATTTAGAATTCTGTGCTTACGGAAAAATCTTTCATCCAGTTTGAAAAACAGGGTAACACGGTGTTTCCCCTCCTCTATCCTGCCTTCTAATTTGACTGTAAATTAATGATTTTATTTTTCAGAGTTCATTTCAAATCTCTGCAGAGGATTTAACAATGGAATACCAAAATTTCAGGTATTTTCCTTTAGTTTGTTTTTAAAAAACCCTCCTTACATATAACTTATGTACTTGTGCTTTATCATATTTACTGTTGTTAAATGAAAATTATTTTGAAACAACTTCAGGTCATATTTCAATTGCTCTTTTGACATTTCATTGATCAATATTTCACTAAAGATATTAATTTTCTCTAGGATGCAGAGAGACTAATAGAATTTACACAAAAATTCCTGCTGAATGAATTTCCCCACCTTCTTGGTGATTGTACACCTGCCTTCCTTATAAGGAGAACAAGGAAGTAAATCATGCTGAAGTTGCTTTTAAACACAGCTTTTCTTCTTTACCTGTCCAGGTAGCCTCTGTTTTCATTTCAGTCGTAATGAAAACTTTTTAATTTACATCTCAAGTTTCTTTTCAAAGCAGTGTAAGTAGTATTTACAATTTTATACTTGAAGAAAAATAAAAGACTTTAACAATGTTCAGCTTCGGTCTTGTAACGTTGAAGGTAATTCATTTTTTGATCTGTCTGCACAGCGAGAACTGAACCGAATGGGGATTGAGTTTCTCTGCCTGTTCTTTCTATTTCTAGGAAGGCATGATCACGCACAAGGTAAGCCCTAAGCTCTCTCATATACTGCTTTCCTGGCATATGCTTGACAAACCTGTCATTTGGTTCAGAAACTAGGGCTGAAGTCATTTTTTACTTGATCTGTTCAATTGCCCTTCTGCCATTGAACCAACACTCTAACGAATCACAGGCAGAGACAGGGCTGTTCCCGCAGTGAATGCTCTAGGCTTAAGGTAAATAAATACAAAGGTTGCACGGGCATTTTGATGAGGAGAATTAAACAGCTTTACTATGCACTAGGACTTCTTAATACCTTAGTGACAACCATTTATGGTAACTTTTCTAGCTATTTCATTGTACGGGTCTTTCACTTAGGAGTAATAATCTTGAGAGAGAGAAAAGATTTATTTTTAAAATAAAAACAGTACATTTAAGAGAGTAGTATTTTTTAATGGATGCAGATAACTTTAAAAAATTAAAGGGGATGACATTGAATGGGTATAATAAATATAAAGAGCATGGGTTTGTGAACATTGGGATTTTTTTTATATTATGAGAAAGAAGAGAATGATCCTTTTGGGCTAATAAAACATACATATTGTCAATGTGGTAGTACAAATATAAACATTTAATGAATTTCTAACAATTAGAGGACTAATCTTTGAAAACTAAAACTTTGATATTGCTTCTTCAAGTACTTTAAGAGCTGTAAGTTTCGTACACTTGGTGGCCGGAGTGTGCTGAATTCCTTGTCTTGCTGGGTTTAAACATAGGTGGCTGCGCGTTGGGAGGTGTGGAAACCTGTGAAGACTGCTTGCTCGTTGGCCCTCGGTGTGCCTGGTGCTCTCAGGAGGTAAAACAAGTGACTTTAGCATGTGTGTAAAAACTGCAGTTACACTTAGTTCATTCCATCAGAGATCATTCTGACCGTGTCCTGCTTTCTGTGAGGTTGTAGGAGTGGAATCTTATAGCAAAAGATGTAAGCTTTGGTAGATCAAAGTGTCAGTCATGAGATTACTTTTAAAAATGATGTGCAGAGGGAGTGAATGTCAAATTTTTCTGAAAAAGACTTGACTCAGGATCCTTTATTGAGCCTGATTCCTCCTATTTTAAAGCCATTTCTAACTGGCTTCATGGAAAATGCCAAGGCTCTGGGTAATCAGAGATCGTGGAGATGATATTTTCTAGGTTTAAACACACATTTTGACTTCAGTATCAGAGTTGTATTCCACCTGGGAACCAAGATCCATTCGGAACCACGGCTCAGTGCTAAGAGAGGTGTTACAGGTATGGGGTAAATTTTACTGTTCAGATATTATACAATTCCTTTAAAAATTAACGTTTTCATGAGCTTGTTACCTCTGTCCCACAATCCATGACAAATCCCGAAACAGACATTCCTTATCTGATCGAACCACAAACTATGTGAGAGTATCGTAAGGGAGTGGGGAGATACACATCTTAAGTCACTGCGTCCTGTGACACTACAGAGCCATCAATGATTCTTGGTGAGAAAGACCTGCCTTAGCTCGTTCTGGATTTAAAACAGCTCTCTACTGCATCTGGTAAGGAGAACCTAACTGCAAATCAAAGCATACAAATGCTAAGCATACAAGTGCTTACATGAGTAACATTTTCGAAGGGGAACAAACCTGGATACCCTACTCAGCACCAAGCTGTAGCTGTTGAAACTCAGATTCCAAGTTGAATCTGCTTTTTGTGCAGGAAGGCCTCACAGACAACAGAGCACAAACCCGGCTTGCTCCGCCACTACGGCCCCAAATGATGGGGCACAAATAAGTGTGATAGAATGTTATGCTTTTTTGAGCTCATGTGTCGAAAGCAGGTTTGAGAATGAAGAAAAAAAAGCCCACATTTTTTTTTGACAGTGACTCCCTGACAAAGACAAGTGTTAGTTTCATGCCACACACAAAAATCAATCTAATGCCCATCTCTAGACTTTTTATTTAAATGCCTTTTTTAGCATTCATTTAAGAGAGCATCTTAAGTTACTACTGAGAGCTTTAATTACATAAAGTAATGCTGTAATATATGGATCAGGATAATCCTTGGTAGCCAAATTATTGTCAAATTTTAAGGTCAGATTATTTTAAGAGATCATTCTAAGAGTAGAAATAATCATATCAGTTGAGGCAATTAGAGCAAAAAATAAATGAGGCTTCTCCTTAGAGCAGATAAAAAAAGGTCCTATGTAACATCCCCTCTGAGAGTTTGACAAAGACTGTGACTCTGGGTGATGCTGTGTTGAGAGGGATTCTGAGGTTTTGTCAAACCACTGTTTGCCTTGGATACATCACGGGAAGTTACCGAGTCCTGCCACCCATAGTGCAGGACCTCAAACATCTACAGCCTCATTGATAAATAACAAATTATATCCTTAAAAATCAATCGCAGAAGAAATATTACTTTCCTAACTGGTGAAAAAGCAGGTGTAGTTTAGAATTCTAAGGGATGTGAAAAAATAATATGAGTTTGCTTTTCTCCAAGTATGACAGTCGTTGGGCCTCACATTCAACTGTGCCTAGAGCCTCCCAGATCTAGAGCAGCCTTGGCTCTCAGATAAGACAGGTATTTATCTCTCGGCTCTGTTTCAAGTGCCACAGGCTGCAGCAGCCACGGCTCTGCCTGGAAACCTTCACATCACTGGCTCCTGCTACCCAGGTAGATCAGAAGGGGACTTGGACACCCCGAGGTCCTGCACGTAAGGGCAGTCTTCTATACCATATTCTTTTTCATTTCCCTTCCCCATCTCCAAGTCTTGAACTGGAACAATTTAAGATATTGAGTTTGAAGTCCCCAAGAATTCAACATTAGTGAAGTGACACTGTAATGTAAGGATAATGCATCCATGAATTCAACCAGGACAGAACTAGGTAGGAATCTGTCACAATCCATGCTCTCTGGGTGTGCATAGAAAAGGCTCTTTTTGTCACTGGATTTGATATCAGACACACTGAGCATGTGGTTAGTCCTAGGATTCCATGAACCTGCAGGTCATGCCGAACAGGTAAGTTCAAGAGATGACGTTGATTCTACGATCTAACTGTTTGCAAAGATCTGGTCATGGCCTAGAAAAAGCTTTAAGGATGTGAGCACTTACCAACAACAACCGTTGTTAGGTGAAGTCAGTTGAATATAATTAGAATGAGAATCCTATTTTACTCAGAATTTCACTGGCAGAATTCTCTGGTTATTCTGCCCTAATTTAACTTTAGATCCACAGTCAACGTCAGGCATGTCGGGATATGATACACTGAGTAAGGCGAGATGACTAACTGGCAAAGCAAGTAAAAAACATTAACTTGTAAAGCAATGCAGATTTGTCTTTTTTCTTTTCCTTTTTAGAATTTTACCCATCCATCTGGAGTTGGAGAAAGATGTGATACCTCAGCAAATCTTATAACTAAAGGATGTCAACTATCCTTCATCGAAAACCCTGTCTCCCAAGTAGAAATACTTAAAAATAAGCCTCTCAGTGTAGGCAGACAGAACAATAGTTCCGACATTGTTCAGATTGCACCTCAAAGCTTGACTCTTAAATTGAGACCAGGTATGTTATGATTTACACGAGTGTTGGTTCTTATAATAAACCTAATGTCACATATGATAATACCCCTATTCCGCTACTACACCCTGTACCTTATCACATGTCATTGGTTATTACGACTCGGATTTCCCATTCTTAAGAAAACAGAATTGCTTGGCTAACACTTTTCTTAATTCACATTGGTCACTTACACTCCAAATGTATTACTAAAAAAGCCTTACCTAATAGCGACCATTTAAACTACTCAAATGTTAAGGCTCACCTCACATTTCTTCAAGCGTTGTAAGGGTAGCTTTAAATTCCCCTTCATTTTGTTCTCTTTCTGTAAAACCACATACAAAAAATTCAGCTTATCTTCCATCTAAATGGATGCTATTTCTCCCAAAGAGATATAAAATACCCTAACTTTTACCTCCTTCAGTAGCTCTAAACTCACTGTGGAAAGATTTTCATGGGCTCATTCATTTACAAACTTTATTGCATAGTTTACAAAATCCTAAATGTCTCCAGTCAGTTCTTATTGACATGAAACAGACGGCCATCCCAGTTATTGGCTAGTCACACATAAGTCTTGATGTGTTTGTATGAACCTGCTTTTCTTGTGGGGGCTTTGCAGGCGGTGAACAGACTCTGCAGGTTCAAGTTCGCCAGACGGAGGATTACCCGGTGGACTTGTATTACCTCATGGACCTCTCGGCCTCCATGGACGATGACCTCAACACAATCAAAGAGCTGGGATCCCTGCTTTCCAAGGAGATGTCGAAAGTAACCAGCAACTTCAGACTGGGCTTCGGCTCTTTTGTCGAAAAACCTGTCTCCCCTTTTATGAAAACAACACCGGAAGAAATTGCCAACCCTTGCAGGTAAGTAAACGATTCTCTGGCATCTTTGGACACTGAGTTTTCTGGAAAGATAGTTACTCTCTGAGCTGCAGTTGGCAAGAGCTTGCTAACTCCCTGATATTTCCCGCCTATCTGGTTGGATCTCAGCAGCTCTCTGTTGCAGGGTTTCAGAACTGAGGTGACGTCATCTTAACATGTGATCCTAGTTTGAGTCCTTGCAGCATCTGCAGGATCCGTTTCTCTGTGTAGGTCAGGATGTGGCACATTTGGCTTTGTGTTCTGCAGACAGGGGGACCAAGTTCCCATGGGCTTGGCCCATCCGCAGCCCTTCAGAGACCTTCTATCCTCAATGACCACCACTTTCTGAGGCTATTCGACAGTGATGCACACTTTTTCAGAGTTTCTCCATTACAATTTCTTCTTCTACAAGAATAACATTTTTTGAAGCTTCTTCTGACATACACTGGGAAGTTTGGATTCCTCTTCTTGCTTGGAGAAGGCATTTGTAAGCTTCACCTCTATCAAATTCAGTAGGAAATTAGGCAGTGACTCCATCAGAATCTGCTATCATTAGCCATTTAAACCACGTACTATCCAGGTAATGGTCAAGGGCACGTGATGCTTGTGATGGCTTACCTGTACAGTCATAACATGTTCGTAATCAAATTATCCATTATTCTTCATTGAAAAACACCCACTATTTGCTCTTTGACAGACCTTATGCTGAAGGTTTCATATATATAATCTCATTCAAACTTCGTAACAGCAGGTCAAAGCAGGTTTCTTCATCCCTATACTAAGAGGAAGTAACAGAGGCTCTAAGAGGTTAATAATTTGCCCAAGGCCACATGACTAATCAGTAATCTGTCCCAAGATGTAGGCTGGTCCAAAACAAAGCCCTTTACTACTATGAATCTGGTGTGTATGAAATGACTTCCCAAATATATATTGACTTTTAATGTCATATACACCCACACCATCAATCTTCAGAAAAGACAGCTTTTATAATATCATTTTAAAGCATTTCAGTGGGGTTCCCAACTAGAATTGGACATAGCCAGAAATAACTTAACCATGAAAGGAATTTAACACTGATTATAACTCCTAGGAATTGTGTTTGGTTGCAAGTGTCAGAGATAATGGCTTAGAAAGAGAGAGATTTTTTTTTCTCCTTTTCACAAAAAATAAGTCTAAAGAAAGGCAGTTCAGGGCTGGTATGGAAGCTCCACAGATATCAAGGATCCAGGTCTCTTCTTTTTCCTGTTGTACTGTGATTGGCTCTTGGATTTTATCTTTATGATCCAAGGAAGCTTCTGGGCTGCTACATCACTTCTTCATTCCAAGCAGAAGAAAAGGAGGACAGAGGGGCAGATCAATAAAGGGCACTGTGTGGCTCCCCTCACCTCATTTTGTTGAGCTATAATTGGCATGTACTAAAATACATACATCAGAAATGCTCAGTTCATTAAGTTTTGACAATCAAACATATCAAATGTAGTCACCACCTAAAACATGATGTAGCACATTTCCATCACCTCAGAGAGTTTCCTTATGCCCCATTATAGTCAGTTCCACTCCCCCAGAAGCAACCACATTCTGATTTCTGTGTGATTGGTTTTACCTATTCTTGGATTTCATGTAAGTGGAATAATGTAGTACTTTCCTTTTGTATCTCATTTCTTTTGCTCAACATGTTTTGGAAATTCATCCACGACTTTGAGTTCATCAACAATTTGTTGATGTTTGTTTTAAGTAATAGTCCATTGATAGATGTACTATACTTTGTTTATTCATTCTTCCACTGATGGGCATTTGGGTTGTTTCCCATTTTTTGACCATCATGAAAAATTCTGCTATGATCACTTGCATATATCTTTGTGTGGGTGTATGCTTTTATTTTTCTTGGATTAAAGTCTGCAAATGGAATTGCTGAATTGTATGATAAGGGTAGTTTTAATTTTTAAAGAAACTATCTAATTGTTTCCCAAAGTAGACGTGCCATTTTGCATTTTCATCATCAATGTGTAAGGGTTCCAATTATTCCAAATCCTGTCTAACACTTGGCATTGTTAGTCTTTTTAATTTTAGCCATTCTGATAGGTGTGTGTCTCATTGTAGCTTTCATTTGTATTTTTCTTAATGACAAAAGATGTTGAGCATCTTTTCATGTGTTTTTCTGCCATGCTCATATCTTATTTCATGAAGTATCTTTTCCAATATTTTGCCCATTTTTAAAAATTGGGCTTTCTTCTTAAAATTAGGCTTTCTTCTTACTATTGTATTGTATCAGCTCTTTATATTTTCTGGATGAAAGTTCTGTGTCAAATATATGTTTGCAATTATTTCTCCCAAATAAAATCTATGGATTTTATTTTTATTTTTCTAGCAATATCTTTGGCCAAGCAAAAGTTTTTAATTTTGATGAAGTCCAATTTATCAATTTTTAATTTGTGCCTAGTGTATTTTTTTATCCTAAGAAATTTTTGTTGATCCTAATGTCGCAAATATTCCCCCAAGTTTTCTTCTACAACCTTTATAGTTGAAGTCCTTACATTTACGTCTATGATCTCAAATTAGTTTTTGTATTTGGGATTTGGAAAAAAGTTCATTTTTTGTCTTCACACAATTATCCAATTCTTCCAGCACTATGTTAAGCAAGCTTTTCCCTTCCCCATTGAATTACCGCAATGACTTTGTTAAAAAGCAATTGACTATGTAAGTGTGAGTCCAATTATAGACACTCTATTCTGTTCTATTGATCCATTGAATATAAAGCTTACAGTCTTAATTACTGTAGTTTTATAAAAAGTCTTGAAATTGGGAGTATAAGTTCCTCCAACTTTCTTTTGTTTTTGGCTATCCAAATTCTTTGCACTTCCAAAGAAATTTTAGAATTGGCTTATCAATTTCTTCAAAAAATATGCTGATAATTTGATTAGAATTGCATTGAAACCATAGGTTGATCTGGGAAGAATAGCCATCTTATAAATATTGAATCTATGAAATATATTTCTATTTATTTAGATCTTGTCTTCTTTCTTTCAGCAATGTTTTGTCATTTTCATGGTAGACAGACTATTCATCCTTTACTTGATTTATACTTAAGGTCTTTTAAAATGCTGTTGTTAATAGTATTTTTTACATTTTCATTTTCTAATTGTTGATAACATGTAGAAATGAAATTAATTTTGCATATTCACTTTGTTTCTTGTTACCTTGATAAAATTTCTGATTAGCTCTAGTCTGATTTTTTTTGTAGATTCCTTAGTAATTTCTGTGTACTTAGTTATGTCATCTGTGAATAACAACTTCTTCTTTTCCAATATTTATGCCTTTTCTCTCTTTTTCTTGCCTTGTGCTGGCTATAATCTCTAGTACAATTTTAAATAGAAATGGGGAGAGAGAGAGCATTTTTCTTGCTTGTGATCTTAGGAATATAGTTTCAACCATTAAGTATATCATTAGTTGGTGGTTTTGTGAATTTCTTTTGTTAGATTGAATCAGTTCCCTTCTATTTCTTGTTTGGTAAGATATTTTTAAAAAGTTATAAATGGATGTTGAATTTAATTTCCTCACCTTAGGAGTTTTATCAGAAATTTTATGTAACAATTTATACTTGCATCTTACTGACCAGGGCTTGGGTGCATGGCCATAGCATACAAAGGAAGCACATTGCCACTCCAAATAAAATCAGGATTCTGTTAGTAGGGGAGAAAGAAAGAACAGATACTGAGCGGCATTTAGTAGTTCTTGCAACACTGAACAAATGGATTTCTGGAGAGGGATAATGATTTGTATCCTGAAAAATGCTGCATAATTAATTTAAGGTATGATTATTGTTATCAATTGTTTGATTCACTTGTAAGGGGAAATAGGCTCCATGCTAACAGCCTCCTAACTTTTTAACATAAAAACATTTTTAATACTTCTGGCCAGAGAATGTTGTACCTGACTAAAATCTGTATTTGGATCTTTGGTATGTTTTGTGTCTTCCTCCTGCAACAAGCTTCAGTAGAGGCTCTTAGAGCATTTCCATCTAGGATTACAACGTGCAACTTCTGCCCCAGGGGGGTTTGTTTAAAATCCTTTCTGTCACAGACCAGATAAGATGTTGTAACATGAAGCACAATAATGACTATAGGAAACAATGACTACGGAAAGTTACCAGAGAAAACAATTAAAATTAACAAACTTAGGTGGCCCAGCTAAGGCTGCAGCCGAGCATCTAACAGTAAGACCCTGTCCTTAATCAGGTGTCTAGAAAATGAAAGGAGTTTGGCTTTCTATAGCTCTGACTGTATTTCATTCAAGCATTCATTCATTCACTCACTCAGCAAAAGCTTACTGAGCTCCAACTATGTACCAAGCATTGTGCTAGGCATGCACATATCTGCAAGAAAAAGATCTGGGCCCAGCCCTCACAAAGCTGAAATTCTTTGGGCAGCAGACACACAATGTAGCATGGATTCATCTACTCACACATAATGTCACCCTTAGGTGAATTAGTTCACCTCTTAGAGCTTCAATTTGTAATAACAATGCCAATCACACAGAGTGGTTGTTAAGGATGGGGTGAGACGATGAATGCAAGTATTTCATCCTGGGCTTGATCCAGAAGTTCTCAATAAATCGTAGCTGCTCTCAACACCAATAGAATGAAGTTAAGGAGAGACCAGATTGCTGTACATGATGTGGTGAAAGGGGACCCAAAGGAGGATCACATATTTGATCTCTAGAAAGGTAACTATTTTCCTATTTTCTAAAGATGTGGCTTTTATTCTTATTGACAAATTTTCCATTAAAGTTATTAGTAAGTTTTTTCTGGTTTCCCATCATATCCTTAATTCTCTGTTTGTCTGTCCAGATACCACCCCATACACAAATTCACACCAAGAATTCAAACACCAAACACAAGAATCAATCCTTTGATCAATTCAAACCTTAAAATTATGGAATAAAATGTTCTTTAGTAGGAAGGCAGTAAGAGGTAAGAGGAAAGAGCATGGAGTTTTTCAGACCTG